AGAGAAAGAGAGAGAGAGAGAGAGAGAGAGAGAGAGAGAGAGAGAGTGAGAAAGAGAAAGAAGATCGAGTACCGAAAATCGTTGTTGCACATATTGTCCAAAAAGCGACATGCGCAGTTACGCAAAGAGTTACTTTCACGAGTACACGAAGGACAATCCATTATCCTTTCTCAGGAGACGAATAATTTTATCTCATGGCCCAACCGCGATCACTATCCATTACTTTCTTTCTTTCTTGCTTTCTTTTTCTCTTTCTCTATCTTTTCTTTTTTCCTTCCTTCTTTCTTTCTTTCTTCTCTCTCTTTTCTTTTTTTTTTTTTTTTTTTTTTTAAATCTACCATTCCAATATCACGAGATAAATACTTAAATTGATTATTGATTTAAAAATAGATAAAAAATAAAATTTGAAATTAATCTGATAATCGGACGTTCGTTTGAAACGATCGAATAAAGATTATTTAAGATCGAATTTTCACTCGGCACGAACGCGAGTCATCGATCTTTACTTTCTCGCTTGGTCATACACATATTATATGCCAATGTAACAAACAAAAAAAAAAGAGAGAGAAAGAGAGAGAGAGAGAGAGAGAGAGAGAGAGAGAGAAGAGGAGAGAAAAGAAAAATATATACGAAGAAAAAAAAGAAAGAATAAAAGAAGAGAATTCGATTCGCAAACTGGTCCGGTTGGATAACGTCGTTTCCACGCCTTTTACTTTTATGTCGGATCACAAGTTAAACGTAGAAAACTGCCATCTTCGTTCGTGCAATTATATCTTTCTCTCTCATTTGCTGCCTCATACCAAACCGGACTGTACCTTACCATAAACGATCGATCGATCAATTTAGTGGTATCAACCACTTCCGGCTTAATTCATGATTTTGTCAGAGTTACATCATCAAAATGATACTTTTTTCGTTATGCAAATGATATGTATATATATATATATATATATATATATATATATATATATACACATATATAACTTTCGGATTTCGTTGAACTAATAAAGGGAATAACAAAAAAAAAAGAAAAGAGAGATAGAGAGAAAGAGGAAGAGAGAGAGAGAAAGAGAGGGAAGGGAGGAGAGAATAATAAAAAAAATGAAGCATATAAAAAGGAAAAGAACATTCAAATGGCATATAAAGAACAGATTGGCAATTAAAACATCGTATATGGCGGTATAATTCGAGCAAAGTCATTTATCGTTCAACCGCATTTACGTACATGCGTAAATGAATCGTCTATGATATGTATTTATCCGCATATATATATATATATATATATATATATATATATATATCCATGTACGTGGATATACAGATAAAATCTATTCGTGAGATAAAACGTCAATTGCAGAAATTTCGTAATAATTTCGATCATTCACGTTTCTCAAGAATTCTATATATGAAAAGTAATCTAATTCTTTTTCCAAACGATAGAATAGAATTTAGCCAAGAAGATAGACAAAGAAGATAATAGAATTTATGAAATGCGATCTAAAATTTTGCGAAGCACATCCTCTCGATTTCGGAGCATGACCTTGTTTATATTCTTTTTCTCTTTTTCTCTCTCTCCCTCTCTCTTTCTCTTCCTCTCTCTCTCTCTCTCTCTCTCTCTCTCTCTCTCACTCTTTCGTTCAACAAATGCAATGTATCGGACGCGTGCGAGCGAGAAAAATCGAGTTGGAAAAGAGGAGCAACGGCAAATGGCACTGTGGTACTGACATACCGTGACGAAATCGAATCTTCGAGAGACAGATTTCCGATCGGGGTAAAAGCGTTTCAACGAAAACTCTCGACCTTCTTCCTTTCCTACCCCCTTCCGAACTTCATAAAAGCTACCAATCATCTGTTTCGATTTTGCAAATTACTTTTTTTTATACGGAGAACAATTATTCATTTCTATTTCGAATCGTACGAAATACTTATGAAATAACTTTTCAAGAAAAAAAAAAAAAAGAAAAAAAAAGAAAAAAAAAACAAAAAGAAAAAAAGAAAAATAAAAAGATATTGAGAGAATAGGAAAACGTGAAACGCAACGATTTTCAACGAACGTAATATATCGATATCAAAATACGACATTGACCGGCCTCGTAAAATCGCGAATAATCCCAAAGGAAATCACAAGATTCAACGAAAAGTAAGGTTAGATGATAGCAGTAAATATGTATATATACATATATATATATATACTCTTCCTCTATTTTATCGATATCGTATTTCGAGTTAGTTTTATTCTTTATTTATTTTATTATTATTTCTTTTTTTTCTGTTTCTTCTTTTTTTTGTTTCCTTCAATTTTTACGTGAAATGCTGATCCATTTCTCGTGAGTATCTATCGATTCATCATATCTTAGTGGTTGACGATTTACCACTTAGAAAATGAAATGGAAATTGTATTTCATTTTACAATTTACTCCATTTTAAGACGATTTCTCTTCCTCTCTCTCTCTTTCTCTCTCTCTCTTTCTTCTTCTTCTTCTCTCTTCTTCTGCGTCTTCGTTTTCTTTTAGAAGGAAAGTCCATTCCTTTATCGAAAAACGGAAAGCTTTCGAGAGATGCATGATTTCTTTCCGTATCTTACACGACGTCTCGCGATATAGAGAAACTAAATTGCGACACGTTTTTCAGAGAGCATTGCGAGTAATTTAAATAAAACGTACCTTCGCGGTGATACGTATACACGGTGAATATAAATCGTTTCGAGAAATTCCATTGAATTTTGTATGTGAACGATATATGTACATGCACGTTTTTTTCGTTAAAAACTTCAACGAGTATAAAAACGAAGAAGAATAAAGGGAATAAGAAAAAGAAAAAAAAGAAAAAAAAAGAAGAAGAAGAGGAAGAAGAAGAAGAAGAAGAAGAAGAAGAAAACGTCGAGATGGTTATCACGAAACTTGCAGCGTGCACGTTTTTTAAAAGGTCCTTTACTCAGATAAAAAGAAAAAATAAAACTAGATAGATGAAAGGAAGAAAGAAAGGAAGGAAGGAAGAAAGGAAGAAAGAAAGGAAGAAAGAGAGAAAGAAAAGCAATAACTAAGGAAGAAGGGGAAGAAGGAATGAAAATCCCAAAGGAAGGAAGGAAGGGATGAAGGTAGGAAAAAAGAAAGGCAAAAACTAACGAAGGAGGGAAAGATCGAAAATCCCAAAGGAAGGAAGAAAATCCCAAAGAAAGATATCAACTAGATACTTTAAGACATATTTTTACTAAACCGGACACGTTACAAGGAATAGATATTATTCACTTAATAGCTCATCTTTCTTTCTTTTTTTTTTCTTTTTTTTTTTTTGTAACTACTTTGTAACCACTGAAATAGAAGATATCTAAGGAGCGACGAGCAAAATATGAAGCATCTCGTAGAAAAGATAAAATTATGAGAAAAAGACGAAGCTATCTCGTATAATTGATTGAAATCCCTTAAATGGTAAATATAAAGAAACGCGTTGGATATTTCACTTTCAACGGGAACGGAAACGGATTATTATCGGGCTAAATAGACGATAAAAAGAAAAGAGAAAGAAAAAAAAAAAAAAAAAAAAAGAAAAAGAAAACACTTCCCCTTACTCTACCTTCCCCCTCCCCACCTCTACCCCCTCCCACACGCACAATCCAACTCCATTCATCCATCCTTCCTTCGTTTTCGAATTGATCGCACTGATCGCTGAAAGAAACAGAGATTGAGAAAGATTTTGTCAATAGGTCTCTCCGAGTATTTTAAAAACTATCACTTTCTACGTTTTAGGTTAATATTATACTTTCGAAAATGTGGAAATGTCGCGATAAATAACTCGATTCGAAACGATAACGTTCCATCACGATTTCGTATGTGTCTCGTTATATCATGAATATCATGAAAACTGATGAAGTCGTTCGAAAATAAACACGATTTCTAGTTTTCACGAAGGGAAAAGAAACATTTGCGGGAGGATCGGAGGGTGTGTGGAAGGAGGGAAGTCGGGGGAATATTTACGTAAACGGTCGACTTTTAATTTAATATATGTATTTTCTCTCTCTCTCTCTCTCTCTCTCTCTCTCTCTCTCTCTCATCGGACATATCTTAATCGTCGTCTGCTTGCGATGACACAACGGGGCTACATGAAAGTGAACGGAAGAGGACAAGACGAGAGCACTGCTTCCTGCTCTGTAAGACTTCCAAGAAAAAAAAAAAGGAAAAGAAAGAAAAGAAAAAGAAAAAAAAAAAGAAAAGAATTGGAAGGGACTTTCAAATAGGAGAGACATAGAATTATAACTTGTGAAAGGCAATCCATTATATATCATTCATTATATCGAATATAATTTGCAAATAATAGCATTTTCATATGTATCGTTAGATAAAATTTTCTGATAAAAAATTCTAATAATTTTCTAATAAAAAACTAAAATTTTCTGATTTTTATTAATTCACATCATGAATTTTATTAGTTCGTATATACATATATATATATATATATATATATATATATATATATATATATATATGAACTAATTGATAGAGTAAAATATTCTTAATCGTTTATCAATTTATTCCGATAAAAATTCGATATATTTATCTATCAATCAAGATTTAAATATCCACTAAGAGAATCTTATTATTACGTATGATAGATTAATAAGTAATGAAATGTTTTTTGAAAGTGTTTGCCTTAATGAAAGACAAAGAAGTAACGCGATATTATTAATTTGTCAATTTTAAAAATAATAAAAGCCTGGAGAAAGGTGGAGATCGGTTAACATTGATCGATCGTTGATTCACCCTGGTATTACGTACATTCTTTTGTGTCATGAAATTGGAACAGTTACCATTGAATTACGCGCTACTTTAACGGTGTACCGTTGTTACGTATCGTCAAGTTCGGTAAGAATCAGATGGACCGGTCAGAAGAAAGGAAAAAAAAAAAAATCAAGAGGAGTTAGCAGTATGTTCGGTAGGGCGTGTAGCTGCTCCAGTGAAAGTACTCCTACTTGGCCTGGTAACGTATTGCCATCTGGTCACAGTCTGGCATATAAAAAGCGCGATTGAAAGCGGAGTATGACACACTCGAGTCGACAGAACGCAAGAGCAACAACAATGAGGATCTTAGTTGTACGTACGGGTTCGGTTTAAAATTTAAAAATCAATCGATAATAATTGAATAATCGACAATATCTATTTACTGATCTTTTCAGATTTGTCTCTTCTTAGCCACAGCCGTATTAGCCGGGAAGAAACATGACAAACGTGGTTTGCTTTTAGGAGACTCCGTTGGTTATTCAAACGGAATTGGTTTGGGTGGTTACGCCACTGGTGGATTAAAATCTGGTCTATATTCCAGTGGATTGAGTTCTGGAGTTATCGGTTATGGTCTCGATTCCGGACTTGGTTCAGGATTCTCGTTAAATGGAGGTAGTTCAGGAGGTGTGATATTAGGAGCCAGACCTGAACGTATAACCGGCGTCACCGTTCATCGTGAAGTCCAAGTTCCTGTTCCAGTGCCGCATCCTGTACCGGTCGAAGTAACAAGAACTGTACCAGTACCTCATCCCGTTCCAGTTAGAGTTGATCGTCCTTATCCGGTACCAGTACCCCATCCAGTTCCAGTCGAAGTTACTCGTCATGTACCCGTTAAGGTCGACCGTCCTTATCCTGTACCAGTACCTCAACCAGTTGAAATCCGTGTACCTCAACCCGTACCTGTTCCAGTTCCCCATCCAGTACCAGTTCCTGTCTCAGTTGGCCCATCGATTTCGTTAGGTTCTACAGGAGCTGGTAGCTTTTCAAGCGGATTTTCAAGCGGACTATCGACTGGATTTTCAAGTGGTTACTCCGATCTTGGATCTAGCTTGGCCAGTGGACTTAGTTCTGGAATAGATGTCAGCATTGGTCATGGATATTCTTCTAACGGCGGTGGATCGATTAGCGGAGGAGACGCTGGATATTCTTATCCTGTTCCATCGAAGAAATGGTGAACAAACGTCCAATGATCACGTTAAGTTTTAACGATTATATACAAATTCTTTGTTCTTCTGAAAATCGACAACTAAGTACCTTTATGCGTTTGCTTCGTAAGCCAAGCATCGTAACGATATAACAACATAGTCAATGTTTAATGTAATAAATACATTTTTTATTTTGTTACGATACTCAACGACTATTTATTTTCCTTCTTCATAAAGTAATACCTGAATAAAGATATACGGAGAATACTTTCGGAGAACTAACTACTAAATTATATGGATTAATTTACATACAAGGGATGTAAGATAAGCGATAAGTTGACAAAATTGAAGTCAAATTAATTTTGGATCGGATAATTCTCTATTGTAGGACAAGGTTGATAAACTGTGAAAAGTATCTTAAATTTTACATAGAATAAATTAGAATATTCGTATTAACGCTTAATTAAATTCAATATTACCAGTGATCATAAGGAAGGAGATAAACATTGAACGACGATAAAACTGATAGTTTTAATCGAGAAGAGAAAGAGAAAAAAACAGAAGCTTTAGTAAAGCAAGCTTTAAAAAATTGATAGACCTAAAATGCAATATAAGTTGAATGCTAAAAATTTTTTAATATTCGATAAATGGAAAAGAAAATTGAATGGCAATGCATAAAACGAAATCGAATCTTACGTTTGTATTAAAACTAAAAGTAGTACCGAGAGAGTACACAAACGAGTACATTTGTAGATATCCATAATGAGGGAGAAGAGGGGGGGGGGGGGGGGGAAGAGGAAACGTTCATAGCTCGATTGGTCGATGTAGAGTTCGCGTGGGGTAGAATTACGTCAGCAAAGCTCCTTTCGCGTCATATGGAACCGCCAAGCTCTACGTAAATCGGGTCAGGCTGCTATATGAGTGAACTTTACCATCTCCTTCTTTGAGCTTTATATATTTATTTTCTCTTTTTTCTATTTACTTTTTATGTTCTTTCTCATTTTGGTTGGAAGGACAATTAAAACAAAGAAAAACAAAAAAAAAACAAAAAAAAAACAAAAAAAAAACAAAAAAAAAAATTAATAAAAATAAAAATAAAAAAAAAAAAAATAAAGAAAGAAAGAAATTGTGCATATTACGTTGTGAGTTTAATGTCTCTCTAGAACCTTAAACGTCCAATTTTATGATGATTTATAGTCAAGAGCGTTTAAAAGTGTCACGGTTCACGTAAAACCAGTATACGACTCTTAAATAAAAAATTCATACGAAATTACCACACGTCTATTTTCCCAAGTAATCGCAAACGTTTGTTGGATATGTATATCTTTATTAATGTATGTATGCAAATACTACGAATGTTCTCGCTTTCTTAATTGGTGTGGCTTTAGTAGTATAAGTACATAACAAGTGGATCAATAATTCAAATGCTATGAATAAAGGCTTACGTTCGTTCGTGAAAGATGGTGCCGTAAGCGCAAAAGCACCATCTCTAGAAGAATACCCAATTGATATTCTATCACAAACTCATCAACTTATCTATCTATGCAAATGCATTCTCCAATTTTATATTCTATTTTGATATCAAGTCGAAATAAAAGATAAAGAATTTACAATTTATACGATCAATTTGCATAGTTCGCATAAAATCATTACATTTCGTATATTACTTATCAACCTAAAATATTTAACTACTGTTGAGAATAATTTCCTACCAATGATAAAACAGTTCATCTCGAATGGTAATTGAAGAATGAATACCATCAGATGGTAATGCAGAAATCTACCTCATATCGACAATATGATCTCAACAACAACGGATAAAATACTTAAAAGATTTATCTCGTTCAACTTTTCTATTGAGAAAAGAGTATTATTAAAAAAAAAAATATTATAATAATAATATACATATATTTTGTTTTTCTCTGAATGAAACAATAAATGATTTTACTTACATATAGCACTCAGCCTTATCCTTTTCACTAAGGCCTCTATTATATTGTGAACTTACCTGAAACAAAATTAAAAAAAGATGTTAAAAACAATTAAATTTTGTAAGACATACATTGATATAATTATACACTATAGATTACAAAAGAAAAAATTGGATGATTTAATGCGTTGTGTGTTTCTAAAGGAATACGTCTCTCTGTCATGATTTTTCCATTAAATTAATGGGAGAAAACAATTTTCAAGATGAATAGTTCGAAAGAAAAATAGAATAGAAACGAAGCAACAGTATGTAAATACAAAATGAATAATATATCATTGAATGGGTACAAAGATACATCTGTCTCATCGGATTACTTAATGGAATTCAATCTGGAAGATCTACGAATGCGAAAGTTTTTTCTTCACGATGAAATACGTATTGTATCAATAAAAAAATAAATAAATAAATAAATAAATAAATAGAAATAAAAACACAATAATTCGCAAAATATGATAACAGGATAACAATTTCACTGTTATCTCCGTTTTTAAACAAAGCTCGTTTTGTCGGAAGATGGATAAATTTAATTTGAAAAATTTATAAAAAAAATAGATAAAAAAAAGTTACTTCAAAGGAGAAAAAGAGAGAGAGAGAGAAAAAGAAAGGAAAAAATAAATACAAAATTTCAAGAAATATTATAACACGTATGTTACGTGATCAACATAACATAGAATCGTACATTGACATAGTTCGATATTGACCGTCGCATAAACTATGAGTATTTGCATGAAACATCGCTTACCTGTCTATACCCGAGCATATAAGTAGAGTACGTGTACGTAAAATTATCCCTAGGGACGGTTTTAGAACTCGCTAACATCTCTCTCTCTCTCTCTCTCTCTCTCTCTCTTTCCCTCCATTTCCCTCTCTCTCTCTCTCTCTCCCTCTCGATCACTCTACTTTGCTCTGTTACACATATCAACACATCACACGTACCAACGCCATTCAGAATGGTCCATTAGCATATCGAAAACTTAAACCGAAACTACGCTAATTCCACGTTGCTATGACCCGCGTAATATATTAATTAATTACTCGTATACCAAGAATTGTTTATCTAGATCAAACATATACCAACTTCCACGAATGATGATAACATTCGTACATTTATACACACATAGACAAGAAAAGGAACGTAATAATTTATCTTCTGTATCAAGAATCAAACGCTTTATAACCCCTCCCCATACAATGGTAAAATACGATAGTATAAGCATGCATACTGATATGCTAGTATTCTAATAATTATTTCAGACGTATCTAACCACACGAACAGTGAAACGACTCAATAATTTATCCGTCTTGCCTCCGTTAGTATGCTACGTGAAGCACACCTATAATAAATTTCCAATGATACATGATACCTATTAAAAAATATTCCATTTTTTTTTCTTTTTTTTCCTTCTTTCGTTTTTCATTTTTATTCTATACAAGCAGAGTAGATACATATATATATATATATATATATATATATATATATATATATTCCTTTAATAAAAATGTTAGTTTTGATGAAAAATGAATATATGTAAATATGAAAATCGATAACATTTGTCAGACTCGACCTATTAACACGATTTTTTATCGGTTTCATATTTATTGAGTTTATTTCGGATATATTCATATGTATATATATATATATTAAGAGAGAGAGAGAGAGAGAGAGAGAGAGAGAGAGAGAGAGAGAGAGAGAGAGAGAGAGAGAGAGCAACACAAAATATGATGGAATCGTATATGATGGCACTTTTCAAGCATGATTAGTAAACAAACTTATAATTCGATGAGAAGCTTTCTAATCTTCTCTCTCTCTCTCTCTCTCTCTCTCTCTCTCTCTCTCTCTGACTCTCTCTCTTTCTCTCTTTACTTCGTATAATATAATACATATGTATATTATATTTGTATACTACCAACAACAGCTCCACCATTTGTGGTTTACCAATGCAATTCAATATTTCTGTGTTTATTTTAGAAATTCTTTGATATCTAACAGAGTTCATTCGAAAATAAACACTCGAGATCATCGAAATCATTATCGTTCATTTATTCCCACTTAGATATTATATACATATATACATAATATATACATATATATGTACATAATAGCAACTTGAAAATATTTATTTTTGATCGGTTCGAAAATCTTTTTCCTGTTATTTTTCGAAAGAATTTTATCGAACACGTTGAATTACATTTAATCAACGTAAACGTAGAAAATTGATATCGGATACGTCGATTTTTACAAAAGTCAAATGGCACGTTTTTCATGGATTTTTTTTTTTCCAATACAGTTTTAATACAAAGTGAACTATGTATTACAGTTAGTTTCGTTGATTCATTCGATCGTGTAAAAATCGATAAGAAAAATTCTTCGTACTCCTGACACGCGTGACAACGAATAAGATAATAAAAGTTAAGAAAATTCGAGCTAGGAATACTTTTTCCATACTATTTTCAAGTTTCTCGTATTTTCTTTATTCGCATTATCATCCCAATCCTTTCATCCTTCCTTCCCTTTTTTTTTCTTTATTATCATTCTTTGATCTTTTTCCTCTTCGTTCTTTCCTCAATTTTTATAAAAATTTTAAATCATTACAAAAAGGAAAATCTCATTTTCTTTTTCCATTCCTCTTCCTTCTTCTTTTTCCTTTTCGCTTAGATGGGGAGCCATTAAAAGGGTACTCCGAATTTGAAGTATTTCCCGTTCTTTAGCGAAATCGAAAAAGCAACGAACCGAGGAAAAGATTAGGCTTCTAACGACAACGAGGAGAATTTCAATTTAACGCAAAGTCTCGATTGATTTTCATTATCGTAATAATTTTCCGAAAACGTTGACTATTCGTTCGATAAAACTCAATCGATCGATATAATTCAATTAATCTTGATATATACATATATATATCGAAATTAATTGAATATATATATATATATATATATATATATATATATATATATATTAGTGAATAGTATAACAGTAAAATAGTAAATAGTAATAGTATAAGTAATAGTATAATAGTAAATATATATATATATCCGTTAATCT